CCCCGCCGCCCCCCTCACGACTTACCCAGCAGGGAGCCCAAGAAGAGGAGCGGCCCCAGCCCAGCCAGCAGCCTCATCGCTGCTCGCCTCGGCAACGCCCGAACAGAAAACGAAAGAGGGCCGCTGATACCCGCCCCTCGCCTCGTCACGGCCGCCGGCCCACCCGGCTCTCCCCGCCCCTGCGCCGCCGCAGGGCCCGCCGCTGGGGTGCTGAGTAACCGGCGTTCCGCTGGAAACTCCGGGCCTCCGTTAGGGAAGGGGATTTCAGCCCCTCAGTTGCTTCCGCTGCGTCTTGGCGGGTTGCGGCTGCCAGCGAGGGGCTGCGGTGCGAGGCGATGCCGCCAAGGGGGTTTCTGGTTCTTGGGGCGCAACTGCCGCCAGCGCTGGCGGCAGAAATTGTCGTGTCGCTCTTACAGCAGGGAAGTTTCAGCTCCGCTAATTGAAAACCTGAAATTAAATCGATTTAACGTGGAGCGGGAGTCGCGCAGGTTAGGGGGAGAACACGTTTCAGCAGGTAACGTGCCGCTCGCCGCCTCAGAGTGTGATGGTCATCTAAACCTCGTACTCCCTGGAGCCTGGTGCTTGGCACCAGTGCTCCCCAAAATGCCCACCGTCCTCTTTGGGGGACACCTGGCAATGCCTCCGTTTGAGGGGTGGGCTCAAGGCTAGGCCTGGCCATGCCCACTGGTGTCAGCCAAGGCTGAGTTGGCCTCTGCGGCTGTGACCCTTCTGCCTAAGCAAAGGGAACAAATAAAACAAAAACCAGCTCTGACTTCTAGGGGTTTCCTTTGACACCAGCTGCTCAGAAGCCCATTCACAAAACTAAAACAGAATTACATTCCCTTTCGTGGGTGACTGGCCTCTTGACACTACAGTGTTTTTTGTGGAAGAAAGGGAAAGTACCGCAACAGTTTGGGAAACATAAATACTCCGCAGCTATTGAAAAACTGCTACTCTGCCAAATACTCCCAGTGGCAGCTGCGAGCTTTCCTCCCAGCTTTCCTCCCATGGCAGCAGTTGCTGCGAGCGGTTACATCAGCTTCCTTCGCCTGCCTCCCACTCGCAAGCGCGTTATCCCGGCTGAGAAGAATCCAGCTGCCGGCAGGTCCGGCCACAGACCTTACAGCCTCAGAGCATGCTCAGTTCCCAGAAGCTCAACTGCCTGTCCCGGGGGAGAGCAGCACAGCGCTAGGGCTGGATGGGAAGGCTGTCACCGCAGATTCAGCCCTCGGCTGGCTCTCTCCCGGTGTGCTCAGCCCACACAGTCACTGCCGAGCAGCTATTTACTGACACTTGGAGTGACCTCAGCTCGGCTCTTCACGCAACAGTGCCCATAGCGGGTCAGGAAAAAGAAAAAAATGGGCAACCGTGGAGATCTCTAACCAGAGGACCTTCCAAAATCAGCACTGAAGATGTTCCAACGCTAAGTGGGTTTTTTCCCTCCTTCTAGGAGTTGCTGTAAGCTCCCTTACCTCATCACTGCAGGCTGCAGAGGAACTAGAATGACACTGCACCTTGGGCTGAGCAATGCTGTCTCGTCCTGTTCTTACAAAATCAGACTACTACTGATCTATTCTCCATAGCTATGTTGGAATGACATGGCACATAACTGTCTTCCAGTTGCAGTCAGGCCCATCCCGTAAATTCCTTTTGCTCCGTGACAGAAACCCACAACAAGCCTCTCTGTCCCTCCGTTCCCTTTTCCCCTCCCTTCTCAATCTCTTTCTGGTGTCAAAGGGAGCTCCTGACCCTGTAAAGGCTCCAAGTCGCAGTGTTTACACCAGAACTGTAATGTGGCCATCTTCCTGGTGGCAGGAGCAGCTGTTCTCTGCTGCTAATTAGTACTCTTATCAGGTAAAATGTCATTCCAAGATGTCAGAGACTTTGGATTGAACCTTGTTGCTGGATGCCACCTCCCACCTTGCACACTACAACTTTCCTGTCAGTTATGACATCTTTGGGGTTAGCAGAGAGAAATCTGAAGCGGGGACTGACACTTTCACTTAGATTATTTTAGGGTGGAAGGAACCACAAGAGGTCACCCACATGTACTCAAAGCAGGGCTAAGTTCTTCCTACTGAGCTGCTCCACGTTGTAGAGGATGATTAGGGCTTCACGGGGCAGAGAAAGTGAGAGAGAAACTTGGGCCTGGTAGCTGGTGCCCTCACCTAGGTTCCTCTATTTTTGGGAGACTACAGCGATACGTGGCAAGGATGCATTCTCCCTTCTTGTGCATACTTACACAGTCATACTAGGTAGAAGGTCCATAAAGTACTCATGAAAGACTCAAGAAAATGACTGGTTTTCCTCCTTTCCTGACTGAGTACCCAGTTGTTTGCCCATGTTGCCCATGTTTCCCCTTCCTCAATTGCCAAGTGAACCTTTAAAGTTTTCTTCCTACTGTCTCATAGTTAGGACCCTTCTGAAAGTCAGGAGTTTGAATCGCTTTTTGTTGAGGTGAGAACTAAACCCAGTTCCTCCGTTAAATCCTGGGAACAACACATAGGAGCCTAGGTGCTTAACATAAAGCCATGGTTTCTACTCCATGGGCAAAGGACAGAAACTACAGGAGCTGTGATACCAAGTATTCCAGCAGTAGGGTGGATCCAGGCCATAATGTACAGTGAGCTAAGCTCTGCATGTATTTCATGCCCTTCCTCGACTGCAAAGACCACAGGGAGTGGTTTTAAATAGTCGTCATTTGCTTAATTCACACTTGGTTTCCCCCAGGCTCCCGCGTCGCTCCCCCAACTGCATTGTTTCCGGTATCGATGAACAGTTTTCCAGTCTTAAGTGAAGTTTCCTGTGATCAGATTTGCACTTGACTACTGGGCATTCGCAGTGCTCATATGCCTCTGCCAGTGTTGCTTTGTGGGTGGGGAGACAACATTTTCAGCTGAGTTGGGCACTTTCAGCATTTGCTAGAATGCGCAGACAGTGCCTTTTTTTATTATTTTTTTTTTTTAATGAACAGAATATGTGCATAAAACCAAATTTGTTTGCTTTCATTATCTCTGACAGATCCTCAAATGAATCACACCGTGCATTGTGATTGTACTTTGTAAGGAACTGTTAAATCTGATGTGGTTTGCAAGTCTTCGCAACAGTGTTCCCATTGCCATTATAATCACTCCCATTGGGAAGTAAAGGAAGTGGCACCAACATTACGTTTCTGAGCTAATATAACCGTAGTTACTGAGTAATTAAGTTCACAAACAAAAAAGAGAAAAGCCTTCATACCAAAATAGTTTTACTGGTAAAAGCATTTTAAGCACAGAGGAACTGAGTGGCTTTCGCTGTTTGCATAAGGGACCACCACAGTGTGCTGACTGAATCAAAAATTTCCTGGAATTACTAAATATGAGATTACAGAAAAAAAAACTGCTCAGGAAACATAATTTTCAACGTCATGAAGAAGCATTTTTTTTTTTTTTAGCATGCCAGGATGTTGTATAACAACTCTGCAAATACACACTGCAGCGCAAAACTAAATCGTATCTGCACATCTTGGCTGCAGGTTTGTTTTACTCTAAGGCTGTAATACCGGTGAAGCCATATATTACGTGGCATTTCAAAACTTCCATAGAACTTGGCAAAGAGTAACATTTGCATCCTGCTGCAAAGAGTAGAGCCCATTGCCATAATTTTAAATAAAAAATGGAAAGAAGTGTTTGCTGGTTTTCTTTAGGTGCTCCGATTTGTTTTAGTCTAAGAAATTTGTCATTTTCTCAATTACGCTGTTGCTCTGGAGGCTTGTATGGAAACGTCACTGCCTACTGGTATGATTTCACAAGTTTATTTTCTTCTTTCTTGATTGAGAGATTATCCAGATCAGTGGAATTTGTGGGTGCAATGAAGCAGGAGTTGCCCTGTTGCAGTCTATGGGCTTTTGTCTTACAATCTGTGAATCAACGTGAGTCTCGTGCTGGGGTTGGAAAGTTGAAGAGCGAGCTGGAAGCCAGGAGTTGGCTATTCGTATTGCAGCTTTCAATCTTGGAAAATTGATTGGGTTGACAAACTCAATTGCATATTTGAAGAGACACTAAGAACCTACTTCTTTGACAATAAGCCAGCTTGATCGTGGAGCCAAGTATTTCAGGATCAGAATGTGTCTGTATTTATGCATCTCTGGGAGGATGCAGATTGGGCAGGGCTTCCGCAGCCCTCCAGGCCAGGCAGCTGATGCTGCCTAACTTCCCTGTGAGAACCAGAGATATTTCTTTCAGGAGTGACCTGGAAATAAAAAAGATCTTCTGCCTAAAACAGCCCCAGAGCCTTTGGCTGGAGCAAACTGGGGTAAGGAAATGACTGCTATTGCCAATAACTGTAAAGGAAGATGATGTCTGATGCTTTTGGAAAGGTAGTCATCTTTCTGATTAGACTGAAGCAACAACACGCACCAATGAGACTTAAGAAACAGGCGTGCCCTTACCTGAAAGTCTAACGCAGCCAGGGAGATGGTACCACCACCTCATGAATGTCGTGTGACGGACTCCTAGGTACGCGTTTGGTTGTGCGCTTATGCTTCTTCATCTGTTTACACCAAAGCAGTCAAGTTTTTTGTATGCCAAGATCTGTTTGCTTTCTGACGATACTGGTGCATTACTGACATCATCCTTTTATTTCCTGTAGTATCCGAAACGCAGTCTCCAATGGAAGAGTGTCCCTGCCCTCAGAAACATGCAGCCTGAGTGTATCACAGCAACATGGCCACTGTACGGACACTATATTTTTAGCCTCTTTCC